GGACAAAAAAACCTCTAACTTTCTGATTCAAATTTCCATGAATTCTGAAGGATCGAGCTCAAGACTGAGAAATTTCTGCAGACATAGGTTGCAGAGGCTTTCTGCAGAAAGCTTTCTGGTCACTTCTTTGATTCTTGCATTCCCAAAAGTTCCTGCAGCAGCTGTTAACATAGTTATCTGTTTCTGCATCAAACGAAAGTGTCTGCTAAAAAAGGATAGAAAGCTTCTGAAGCGGAGCGCTATCAAGAAGCACTTGAAGCACGTCATCTTTCCGTTTCTTGTGTGGCAAACTTTCGCGAGTTCTCTCCTATGTATGCATTGCTTAGCGATGACAAAAGATAATGCGAATAATTTCTAGGAATGCAGCAAAATCAAGAGAATCCAGGGAAAATTGAATGTATAAAAGCCAAGAAAACAATTGGAAAAGCAAGCGAGCTTTAGTTGCTCAAAAACAGTTGTAATAGGAAAAAAGAGAGAACAGTCTTTGATTTTAATTGGAAACCTATGAAAAGGGTGTATGACAATAATCTTTATTTGATAAAGAAGTCATGTTTCTATTTACCTATTTACCTTTCATAAAGTTTGATTATATTAATTAGACCCATAAGCTTGGCACCAAGAATTGTAAAATTTCGTTTCGAAATGAAAAAAAATTTTTCCTTCTTTAGTATGGCATGTGCTTTGCAAGAAACTGCTGGTTTCTTTTACAATTAAATCAAAGGGTCGACAAATTTCAAAGTAATATCTAACTATCAGTGGCGTATCGAGCCCCCCCCCCCCCTCCCCGAGAATGGGTCGCGAAATTTTTGAGAGTTAATTACGTACTATTAAAAATGTGCAAGAGACTTGCTTATAAGTGTAATTGATTGAAATAATTTTTAACAATCTTCAAACATTTTTTTAAGCATTATAAAAATATTTTTCGGGGCGTGGGTGACTCCGCGCCCACTTTTCTGAAACTTTGGAGTTATGGAGCCGCGGCAAATTTAGGAAACGTACCAAAAAATTTTTTGGAGTGCGTGGTTGACGTACGCACCTTCATCAGAAAAAAATTTGTCGCTCCCCTCCCCCGAGAGGAAATCCGGGCACCACATTGATAACTATCCATAAAGACACCATCAATCGCTTTTTTTTTTGTTGGGAAGATTGAACCTTATATTCAAAAAATAGGGTTAAACATCATCGGACTTCAACATATTTTTAGCTATCGAAAAAAATACGATTTGCATTTGCTAACAATGTTTTTTGCTCCGAGCACTTTTAGTGCACGACTTTCCCCCTTCAAAATAAATCTAATGAAACGTACTTGTGCAAGCTAAAGATAATCACTATCTGCCAAGAAAATGGTGCAATTGAGATTAAATCAATTTATCTAAGCAGACTTATTTTTGCAAAAGGAGAAGAATGGGAAAGAGTGAGAGGAATGGGCATACGTCAGAGAATTTCAAAAGCTTTTTGCGCTAAATTATGGGTTTGTGCTGCTCATTTGAATAAGGAGAATTTACGGAGAGAACGAGAGCTAGGAGAGAATAAATGTCTTCTTAGATTGGCACAAAAGATATTTATTTATTTATTTATTTATTTATTAGGTTGTAACAGAATTAATGCAGGTTTATCGCGCACCTTTTTCAAAATGCTGGTTTAGAACGGGAAAGTGTTTTCTCAGAGAGTTTTGCATATCATTTGAAAGCTCTTTTCTTCTAATTTCTTATGCATTCTTTCGTTTCAGTGGAAGTGAATTTGTTTAGAACTTCTGAGCCCATGAATTTCTAAAGCCAAATCTCGGAATTCTTTCTTTTGATATACATATCTGGCTCTAAAACCACCAAAAACGATCGGAATCCGCTGCAGATTTACACAGTACTTTTGAGTGAGCTATGTTACAAAACGCATGTTAAGTCATGAATTCTGGAAACATCTGAGCCGAGAAATTTCAGAGCAAAATTCAACGGTCGCTGTGGTCCGTCTGCCCTATATAAAAATCCTCAGCGCGAAGCGACAGCGGATCTTCCGCTTTATATAGGAAGAACAGATTTTATACATTTATGGGTGAAAAAATCGGGAGCCGTTCTCCTTATTCAGCTTTGCAAAAATTCAAAAGTTTCAGAAAAGCGATTTTTCAAATTTCCAGAAAAGTCGAAAAAATGAGTACTTTCAAAAAATTTTTAAATATCCTCTCGTAAAGAATTCTTTTTCAATTCCAAATTTAGCACTGTTGCACAACCGACCATAAGCTACACAGTGAGTTATATTTGGGCTGCCTCACTACATTTGACAGTAAGTTATGGCTTCTCAAAGTGAAGGTTTTCCGAAAAAATTCTTAGCAGAATTCGGGCTATAAGATTTTTCTCAGTGAAGCTACAACAACACAACAATGCATACTGAGTTGAAAAAGGTTTGCTGATTACAATAATTCTTGTTGCACACGAAAAGACTATCTGTATAAAAAGTTATAATGACCCAAATACAAAATTCAGAAAACCTGCATTAATTCTGTTACAACCTAATATTTATTCCATACTCTTTATTCTCACGTCGTTCCTTAAAAAAAGAAAAATACACAATTACTCATCCTCTACTACGATAGTTCATCATATAGTCTAAATCCAAGCTTTGGGACTGGATTATTAAAAGTGTGACATGTCTTCAGTAAATTTTCAGCAAATACCTGAAAGCTACTTTCCGTTGTAAGAGGTTAGGCTATAAAAATTATTGTATGCTTTTAGCTGCTTTGAATTTGAAAAGACTGAAAATTCCGGACTTTTTTCTTCAACTTTGCTATTTAGAAAAATGCTTAAATACTTTCATAAATTGCATAATTTTGTCTTAGAAAAGAATCATGAACATGAGCAGGAAAATAAAGAAAATATAACCTTTTCATAAACTGTGTGACAGATCTTTAGGGCCAATGGTATATTGAACTCTATGATAAACCACCCAGACACTGGCGAGGACAAATCAGTCTGTTGAAACTCTCTCTTTCCCCAGAATAATTTTGCCTCGTCTTGAATTAAGCATGATGAATGACTCTGCCTCAGTCAGTTGGTCAAAAAGGTGGATGGCTGTTGAAAAGAAGTGTGATGGATTTGTCTATGCATCAAGTGACGTAAAGTAAAGTAAAGACAGGGACGCTTTTGAGAGCACAAAAGGACAAGAGCCCTTTTGCTGGGCGACAAATGCTGAGTGATGTGCTCGAAGGAGCGGATGCTCCGACGAAAAGTGTTGGTCAAGGAGGCGAGAGCGATAATCATAGAATATGCATACGTCAGTCCCTGCTGTTGGACTGAATAGAAAGAATGAATGCTGAGGAAATTGTATTTAAAATAAAGTAAAGCATGAATTATGGCTAATTTCTGCAAAATTTCGCGTCACTATTGAAGCAATTAGCGAGAAAAAGCAAATGCATAGTCTAACTCCTGTTTTTGCACTAATACGTACAAGAATAGGAAAAATGTACAAAGATGACAAAGCTTCAGAGAGCTTATTTAATTCTAGATACATGCAAAGTGACGGGTACGTTTTTTAGTTTTTAAATTGCTAGGTTGAGTTGTATCCAAAGCATGTCCTTTTCAAATCAAAATCGCAGTATTTTATTTCCGGAACGATTTAACTGACTGCGGTTAGAGAAGTTGCAAAAAGCAAATGGTTGGCTGTATAACGTATCCTTCAATAAAATTGTAACCAAAAAAGATTTCTAGCTTCAAGAAATTACCTATTTACCTTACTTACAGTCAAAAAAAAACTTAATCAGTAGTAGGAAGACGCAAACTTTACTCAATGTGTTCCAAATGTCCAACACAAGGTGGTGCCAAGCTAACAGTTTGCAGGGTTTTTTTGAATGCGGAAGCGAAAATAATATGCGCTCACTTTTTCTTTTCAGAGACGGGATTTGGAAATTTTCTTCAAGTAAAAGCTTGATGTACTCCTTTTATCAAACGTACTAGCTTCAGTCTTACGAGAGAGCGGATTCAAGAGTTTTTTTTACAGATAGAGAAGGCCACAGCGACGATACATATTTGTATCAAATTTTTCGACTCAAGGAATTCAGAAAATTTCGTTTAGAAGTATTTTGTAGCGCTGAACATCACTATACCTATAAATGTTTCTTGAAGCAAATCCGTAATTTGTGGATTCAAAGCGAGGAGAGCAAAAAAGAGAGATTTCTTGTTTGAACATCACAAAGGAATGGAACTAAAGCATAAATCGACTAGAAATCAATGCATGTACAGCAGCTTGAAAGATATACTCACTGAGGTGTCAAAGAAGTTTGAGAGTATGGTATGTTTTCCTTTGGAAGGGGTTGAAAGAAGGGGTAAGAAAAATGTGAATATATGAATTGGTTCAATTTACGATATATGTCACCATTATCACGGTTAGATGTAGCGACTTTCGAGTTTTATTTACTATGGATTCATTGAAGAAGTGACATACTTAATAAAATATCTATCATTTGAGCTATTTCAGAATTTTAGAATTCAAAAGCTAGCGAAAATCCTGCACCTATTTGCCTGCTCAACAAATTGGTCGGCCTGATAATCTAGATCACTAACGTGTCACAGAAAAAATTTGCGTTCTTGTTCGCGAAATACCCCTTTGCATTTCCCAAAGAAAAATTAGCTCTCTAAATAAGGGAAAACTGAAGGAAGCTTTGTGAAGAAGAACGGTAACAGCGTTAAAACAGTTTTTATAAAAAGAGAAAGAAAGCATTTGCAATGTAGATGCACGTTGATTATGCTAATCACGATTCAACATATAGAAAAAAGTGCAAAAAAGAGTTTGCATCTAGGGGATAATGATCTAGCGTTCTGCTTCGATTTCTAGGAACACTAACACAAAGGCCTCAACAGCTCATTTTTTTCACATTTTAATCACTTGGAATTTCAAAAAGTCTTGAATAACAAACAGAATAGTATCTTACAAGTTTACCAATTGGGAAATGAATTTGCGACAAATTTAAAAACCGAGTAAAAAGTTATAAAGATAAAAAGAAAGTAGCTTACCTTTCATATTTTTGTGGTTCGAACTTCAGCTGATGGGAAGGCATCTGAAATAGATAGCTATAGGTCTGACTTTTACACACTATGTTGTGATAAGTATGACGGGTTTTCAAACATCAAGTGATTGCAGCAAAGTTCGAAAGGATAGTGCAGGACAGGAGCCTCCTAGTACGATTAATAGTCTTGTTTGTTCCAAAAAATGTGTTACTTGTAAAATTTAATATGCATCAGAAGCAAGAAAAGCACTTTCTAATGATACTAACAATACTGCATTAAAGATGAAATTCTCTTAGAACAGCTACTTCAAACATAAGGCAAAAAATTAGACAGAACTTATGCAGCAGCCTAATGCTTTGCACATTATGGTTTCATGTACGTTAAAACAGAAACATTTACCAGTTTTTGATTTAAATTATGCCATGGAGTATGATTTGATGTGAAAACTGAATTTGGATTTCTTTTGAGCGGTTTTCCTATAATTCTATGACATTTGGTATCAAAATGATCATCACTGCACTCCGAGCACGGAAATCGCTACATAAATATTAGGTTGTACCGAAAGTTCTTTCGCACCAAATTCAAAAATTCACTTCAAAATTTTGGTCACGCAAATTCGTTGAGAATTCAACAACTTATGAATTTTTGAATTTGGTGCGAAAGAACTTTCGGTACAACCTAATATATTTAGATTCTTCGACACTGTTCAAAATACGTGACAGCCTACTTTGCCATTGGGAACAATTAGAGCAGACTTGCTGGCAGAGGCGTAGCCGCATTTAATTTTCGCGTTAATTTTCTGTGGCTTGGAACGATCTGCGCGATATTAGCATGATAGCTATCTCGAATACGGTGCGATTGATCTATAAAACTGCTCCGTTGCTTCAAATTCAATAAAAACACAAAAAACACGCAATTTCTCTTGTTTTTCGTTTCTGTCGAAGATTTGGCGCACCTACTGTACCTGTTTTTCATGCAAGGCGTTCTCTCGTCTTGTTCATTGTACTTCAAGGACTTGCATGATCTGCTCGAAAGTATGCGGTACTGGGCGCAGGAATGAAGTTCAGATTCGGTCAATTATAATTCGTATGAGACGCCGCATGTGCAGTAGCTTGATTAGAACTCCTGGTTTCGAATGAAAACCCATGCCCTTCAACATTTTCAAATTCATTGGATTTTGCAGTGTTGGCAAAAGTAAGCATACAATACTCCTGCAGTTGTCAAAATGCGCGTATAAATTCTTATTTTTTGGAGCGATATGTACTCTGCTGGATTGAAAACGTCGTCGAACAGTAAAAAGTAGGGCATATAGAGCTCCCGGCGTTTTTTCCCAATTTCTAAGTATTATCATAACTTAAATATAGAATTTGAAGAAGATTTGATTTACGCAACGTATGTGGTTGCGCAAGCTATCATTCGTCTTGACTGCCCACACTCGTACCCGTTAAAATGTTAACATTTGAAGATTTTTTCAGATATTTCCATACAAATCGAAAAAGCTACTATTTATACTAAAACAGTCAGGATTTCTCGTACATGTGCTTTCTTAGATTTTCTTAAAAAGATTTCACAACTGAAAGAATTTAATTCAAATGGTTATGACAAAATCTCCTCAAGTGTTTGCAAGTGTTTACGTAAAAATGATTTGATATCATATAAATATAATCTATAGAATATATTAGGTTGTCCCGAAAGTTCGTTCGCACCATTTTCAAAAATTCATAACTCTTTGAATTCTCAACGAGTTTGTAGGAACAAGATTTTGGTTAAGAGAGGAGATCGTGCTCTTTGCAAGTGTGCCTGAACTATTCCTTAATGTATACTAATGAAGGAGATAGAAGCTCAAAACCAAAATCACTCAAAATTTGAATTTTTCGTGTAGGGTCATAAAAAATCGGGAACTTGCAACGAAAATCGGAGCAGTCGGTATTGTAGGTTCTTTCACCAGCTCTTTCTAACTTTGCAAAGTTTGCGCCAATTGAGCGTCTCTGTGAAAAGTTATGATTTCCCTGAAAAATTCCAAAATAAATCAAAATAGCCCTTTTCTATTGCTTCCTCAAAAATCATAATTTTTCATAGAGACGCTCAATCGGTGCAAACTTTGCAAAGTTAGAAAGAGCTTTTGAAAGAACCTACTATACCGACTGTTCCAATTTTTGTTGCAAGTCTCCGATTTTTTATGACCCTACACGAAAAACTCAAATTTTGAGTGATTTTGGTTTTGAGCTTCTATCTCCTTCATTGGTATACATTAGCGAATAGTTCAGGTGCATTTGCAAAAAGCACGAGTTCCTCTCTTACGCAAAGTGTTGTTCGTACAAATTCGTTGAGAATTCAAAGAGTTACGAATTTTTCAAAATGGTGCGAACGAACTTTCGGGACAACCTAATAGAATAATAAGAACACTAACGATTTTGAGCATCTTTATGAATAATACAAATTATGCTATGTATCTTGAACTATGCACTGAGAATGATTTAGGTTTGATACAATCCATGATCATGAAGTCCATTCCAACACTCTAAACATGGGTAAACTTCATTTTGAGCATTATCAATGCAAAATGTGGTTATATAAAAACACTATATCATCATGATCTTTAATAACGAGCTAAGGGTTGTTTACGCGTGTGTGTGTGTGTGTGTGTGTGTGTGTGTGTGTGTGTGTGTGTATGTGTGTGTGTGTGTGTGTGTGTGTGTGTGTGTGTGTGTGTGTGTGTGTGTGTGTGTGTGTGTGTGTGTGTGTGTGTGTGTGTGTGTGTGTGTGTGTGTGTGTGTGTGTGTGTGTGTGTGTGTGTGTGTGTGTGTGTGTGTGTGTGTGTGTGTGTGTGTGTGTGTGTGTGTGTGTGTGTGTGTGTGTGTGTGTGTGTGTGTGTGTGTGTGTGTGTGTGTGTGTGTGTGTGTGTGTGTGTGTGTGTGTGTGTGTGTGTGTGTGTGTGTGTGTGTGTGTGTGTGTGTGTGTGTGTGTGTGTGTGTGTGTGTGTGTGTGTGTGTGTGTGTGTGTGTGTGTGTGTGTGTGTGTGTGTGTGTGTGTGTGTGTGTGTGTGTGTGTGTGTGTGTGTGTGTGTGTGTGTGTGTGTGTGTGTGTGTGTGTGTGTGTGTGTGTGTGTGTGTGTGTGTGTGTGTGTGTGCGCGTGTGTGTGTGTGTGTGTGTGTGTGTGTGTGTGTGTGTGTGTGTGTGTGTGTGTGTGTGTGTGTGTGTGTGTGTGTGTGTGTGTGTGTGTGTGTTCGTTACGAAATTCGTAGAGCGAGTTCCAGCCATCTGAGCCCAAATTTCGCACGGCGTATGCTAGCAGCATGAAAGTCCGCTATGCAAGCACGAGCGGATCCGTTGAGTGGGATCCTCAAAAACTGCGCTGCAAACGGATCCACTTGGCTTCTGGCCAGCAAAGTTGGGCCTGTACCACCACTTTTTGCAAAGTCATGGATATAACTAACAAGCTAATGTGCAAGCCATGGACTTTAGCCCAAAAAATTGAACTAAATTTGATTACTTTACGGAAATGGCGCCGAGAAAAATCAGTTGCGTAAATGTTCAATTTGCCAAGATTTTACCTAATCATTTGGAAAGATTTTTGCACAGAAATGTAGCCCACGGTGATCATTGTCGTTATGGCGACTACCAACCCATAAAACGTCGAAAAATCGGTTCAAATTTGCATTTATTCTTCTCGGAAAAGTTTCATCCACGCGAAAATGCCGATCTCACACAAAAAAGCTCTCGGAATGAGTAGTTGTTTACAATTCATTCGTGATAACCTGCATAGCGCGGTAAGTTTCAATGTCACTATTATGCGGGAATAAGCAAGGCATAAGAAAGTAGGGCCAGTGTGAGCCTCTGCGAAGCAGAGGCGACGCACTGGTGACTTATAATAAGCCGCTTTGTCGGTCTGTAAGTCTGTCTGTTACGAAAATACAGTGAGGAATGATTTACAATTCTTTGGAGCATGTGAGGTTCTGATAGCAAGTATGGTCCATTTTTAATTAGGACTCTCTCACCGCAGTCAACCTGGCAATAATCTGAAAGAAAGCCTTCACATCGTAAGTTTACGATCGTTTCTTGATACAGTGTGAGCCTCTGCGAAGCAGAGGTGAAGCACTGGTGTTATATAAAGTTATTGTTAATATCTATTTATCAAAAGTATATTTGAGGGTACGTACTATAACAATACCTTCATAAATTTGATAAACATCCAGAATCATGTATGACACATGTCTATATTCAAAAAGCTTTTCTCCTTAATTACTCAGTTTTTACGAACCTTGTTTAAACGATTTATATATACTCTTCACCATTGAACAAACTTACTTCTCAGTGTTTGGAAAACAAGTTTTGTAGAGTTTCCTCAGGCCCCGGACAGACTTCACGCGATTTGATCGTCGCGACTCAATCGCCGACATTTCCATTCTTTTTCATTTCACATTCAAAATCGGGCTGGAAAAGTATCACAACCGAAATGCAAGTTGATCGGCATGGAATGATGTTGTAACAGTTGTCTCGTTGCGATTCAGTCGCGACGATCAAATCGCGTGAAGTCTGTCTGGGGCCTTGCGAAGTTCGGGAAAGGTCTGCAAATACTTTCACTCCGTCTAAGGGCAGGAACACGGAGCCTTTTATTGATATTTTGATGCATAATTCCTGCACCAAAATAGGTACAGACCGCAATAATCCGAAATAATCTATATCCCAAATAGACTTCGATATATCATTAGATAGCGCAAGCCTAGCACTACAAGATAGTGCTCAAATATCTACACCAGCTTTGATCCCGAAGTTTTGAGCCGAAAGCTGGAAAAAAAACCATGCGTCCAAAAACCTTAAGACCAATCAAAATGAAATTGTAACTTCGTTCAAAAAGCTCTCAGAAAATTTTTTTCTTGCTCACGCGTAGACATTCCACGTAAGACATCTACGTATGCAGTTGCTGTATTTTTTTTTCTCAGCTAGACGATGAGAAAACGAAGTTTTTCATGTTTTTGCCAAATTAGTGCTGAGTTGTTGTAGCACTAACAGTTGTATAGTATATGCCATTAGCGATAAAACTTGCCTA